AGGTCTCCAGGGGTTGCTTGGCAACCAGCACTCAGCAGTAAGTGGCCTCTAGTTAGGTTTGTTGCTGTGGAGCTTCCAAGTCTCCCTCCCTTCACACCTGTTCATGCTTTCACTCTCTATTAATAAGACTTCTCCTCTACCCCCACCACCCTGGTAAGATTCTCTTCTCTGATCCACAATAATTAACCTCCCAGGATACAGAAGGGGCTCTTGGGAACCTATGTGGGGAGGGACCCCAGAGAGCAAGGCACTACCAATGCCTTCATCATCCAATATCCCCCAGAGATGACAGAAATTCCTTTTGTGGATGATCCTGCTCAACTAGGCTCACACCTCCTCTTCTTACCTCTCCACCTTTCACCCTGAAATCTCCTGGTAGAGATCAAATAGGCTGGAGAAATTTAAATGAACACTTTAAACTATACTAATGAGTCCCTGAATGCTGTCCCAGCACATAGGTTCCCAAGAGCCCCTTCTGTTTACAAAAGTAAATATATATGAGTAGATATGTATTTCTTTCTCTCTATATACAATGCATTGATCATCGACTTTTATAAATTCTAGTTCTAGCACTGGCTGGTGTGGCTTAGTGGTTGAGCGTCAACCCATGCACCAAGAGGTCACCGATTCGATTCCCGGTCGGGGCACAGGCCCAGGTTGTGGGCCAAATCCCCAGTGTAGGGCATGCAGGAGGCGACAAACTGACATTCTTCCTCATTGATGTTTCTATCTCTCTCTCCCTCTCCCTTCCTCTCTTTCTAAAAGTAAAGGAAAAGTAAAAAAATATAAAAAGTAAATTCTAGTCCTAAATCTCTATTCTCATTTCCATCTCTTATGCCATTTTTGTCATTGTCTTAGTGTTATATGCCAAATGTTTGTGTCCTCCCAAAATGTACATGTTAAGCACTAAACCCCAGCATGGGTATATTTGGAGAAGGGGACTCTAAGGAAGTAATTAAGTTTAACTGAGGTCATAAGGATGGGGCTTTGATCTAATAGGATTAGTGTCCTTAGAAGAAGAGACTTTCAAGAGGTCACTCACTCTCTCTCCATGTGTACACACCAATAAAGGTCACGTGAGCACACAGCAAGAAGGCAGCTATCTTCTTGCCAGACATCAACTCTGCTGGCACCTTGATCATATACTTCCAGTCTCCAGAACTGTGAGAAAATAAATTCTGTTGCTTAAGTCATCTAGTCTGTGGTATTCTGTTATGGTAGTCCGAGGAGGCTAATACACTTAGTTTAAGCCCTTATAACTTACCCGACCACTAGGTTGTTTTTTTTGCCTCGTTCCCATCTATCCTCCAAACAGAAACCAGAGATTTCTCTAAAATGCAAATCAGACCTTGTTAAGACCCATCTATGGTTTCCCAATGCCTATGGTAGTGGTCCCCAATTTATACCCATATTAAGAAAAATATAGACACAACACCCACAGCATTTGTATATTTACCTAAATTATATATATATTTCTACTTTTATACACAAAAGATGTTAAAATGCATAAAATGACATAAATACTATTTAAATGTTTACATTTGGTGTTTATAAACAGTATAGAAAACTTTTCTTACAGAAAAGCACATATGCATACATACAAAAACGCACTTTCTGTTCTGGCCGGTTTGGCTCAGTGGTTAGAGCGTCAGCCCGCGGACTGAAGAGTCCTGGGTTCAGTTCCTGCTAAGGGCATGTACCTCGGTTGCAGTTTGCCCCCAGCCCTGGTTGGGGTTGTGTGAGTGGCAGCCACTTGATGTGTCTCTCTCACATCAATGTTTCTCTCTCTCTCTTCCTCCCTCTCTCCCTCCCGTTCTATCTGAAGATGAATGCAAAAATGTCCTCAGCTGAGGACAAAAACACACTTTCCTCATTTATTTATTTTTTTTTTTTTAGCTTAGCAAAAGCAATGCGATTGACTATGTCAAATCTAACTAGCTCATCATTGATTTTACCTGAAAAGATGGCTGACAATGAACTTGTACTAAGAGTCAGAGAAGTATCAGTTCAGCCATTTTCTGTACTCATTTGGGCTCACTATAATTAGTATAGTCTTCAATCAGAGGTTCCTTTGCAGGATTCTTCTTTTTTTTTTTAATCCTCACTCGAGGACATTTTTCTATTTATATTCAGATAAAGTGGGAGGGAGTGAGGGAGAGGGAGAAACATCCATGTGAGAGAGAAACATCGCTGTGAGAAAGACACATCAATTGGTTGCCTCGCGCATGACCTATAACTGCAACCAAGGGCCGTGGACCAAACTGCAACCAAGGTACGTGCCCTTGACCAGAATTGAACCCAAGACTTAATGGCCCACAGGTCAATGCTCTAACTGCTGAGCCATAGCAGCCAGGGCTACAGGACTCTTTTAAAGCCACATATCCTTTATGAGAGTTCATTCAGTTAAAATTGGGCAGTATAATCAATAAATCCACTTAACCAGGCACAGGGTAATGGCAAAAGCTCACAATGGGCAAAAAATGAATAAAGAGTGAGAGAGCTACCACTGCCAACCCCTTAGACGAGCAGAATGTCTCTTCCTACCTGATGATTTTTCGAGTGTAGAATATGTGACCATCCGATGTGGACATCAAATGAAAACATCTTTGTCAATCTACATAGTAAATATTAGTAAACATTTATTTTTTCTTCATAGATAAAATAAACTCTAATACTTTCTTCCGCTTCCCAAGGGGTCATCAGGCATTTACCCTCTGACCCAGACAAGAACCTTCTGTTTGTTGTGCAAGGTCTCTCTGACCACAAAGCTGCCATCTGATAGCCTCTTCAAAAAATTTAACTCAGCACCCTATCCCTGCTCTTTCACAACCTTGCTCTAGTTAAGCTGGCTTGCTCACCATGCCCCACATATCCTGTGTTCTCACCCTCCTCCCCCGCCTGTATTGGCTACAGAGAAAATGTCAGATAACATAAGTGGAAATTCTTGGCACATAATAGGTACTTAATAAATGCTTATTGATTCTCACCATGAGGTAGTTAAACTAGATCAGTGGTTTTTCAATTTTAGCCTGCCTCAAAACCACCTGGAAGGCTTGTTATAACACACATTGTTAGGCCATACCCCAGAGTTTCAGATTCAGTGGGTCTGAAGAGGGGCCCAAGAATTTGCATTTCTTTTTTTTTTTTTTAATCCTCACCCGAGGACATTTTTCCATTTTTTGTTCAGATAGAGATGGGGGGTGGGGAGGAAGAGAGAGAGAAAGAGAGAAACATCAACGTGAAAGGGACACATCAAGTGGCTGCCACCTGCATGACCAACCAGGGCCGGGGACAAACTGCAACTGAGGTACGTGCCCTTAGCGGAAACTAAACCCAGGTCTCTCTGGACCGCAGGCCAACGCTCTAACTGCTGAGCAAAACCAGCCAGGGTGAGAATTTGAATTTCTAACAAACTCCCAGATGATGCTGGTGCAGCTGATCTGGAGACAAACTTCTAGAGACAATGGACTAAATGGCCTGATAGCTTCTGACATTTCTAATGATTTATGATTCTTTGGTGCTTATAATAGAGATAAACTTTTATCTCTATATAAATTAATACTAAACATTGTCATGCATGGAAATATAGGCTCTCTAAGGGCTAATGTGCTTATCAACAATGTAGAGAAAACAGAACATAATTTAGAATCAAAAGATCTAAGCTGGAACCCCACTTTTTGGCTGTGTGGTCAACCTAGGGCAAGCTAATCATTCTCTGAATATGAATTGTTTTCTTCTGTAAAATAGGAGTGTATTTAAACAATACTTGCTTCTTGGGGTTAATTATAAGATAATATTAATATATGAAAGTAACTTATATAAAAAGAAAAGTACTGTATACAGACTATACCAGTAAGATATATGCACAATGTATTAACGTGCATTTAACAAGTTGAAAAATAAATAATACATGTTTTGAATACTTGAAATCACAAATTTTCAAAATTTCTAATCTCAGTGTTAATTCATTATTAAAAAATATATGATCTACATGTTGCTATATCATCTCAAATATATATGTTATTAGTACCACTGGTAAATACCAATAATAGTAGCTGTGGTGGCCAGCTTCTAAGAAGGTCCCCCACGATCCTCACCTCCTAGGATTTGTACCATTGTCTAGTTTCCTCCTACATTTAATCAGTGACTAATAGAATACAGTAAGGCTAAGTAATAAGAAACATTGCCACTTCCTCTTTGGTTTCTTGGATCTCTTCAAGAGCTGGGGGAAGCCAGCTGCCATGCAATGAAGACACTTGAGCAGCTCTGTGGAGAGAGCCACCTGGGAATGAACTAAGACCTTCTGCTAACAGCAAGTACCACACTTGTGCTTATGCCACCTTGGAAGGGAACCCTCCAGCCCCACTCAAGCCTTCTGATGACTGCAACCCAAGCCGACATCTGGCTGCAAGCTCATAAGAGGCTACAAGCCAGAAACTAAGCCACTCTCAAGTGTTCAATTCAGAGAAACTGTGTGGTACTGAATTGTTATTGTTGTTTTAAGCCATCAAGTTTTGAAGTGATTTGTTATGTAGTGATAGATATGGATATAATAGCTAACACTTATTGTGCATTACCTGTGTTCTAGGAACTATATTAAGCACCCATAGCCCTGTGATGTAGATGCTATTATAATGCCCAAAGAGGAAATGGTGGCCCAGAGATGTTAAGTAATATAGACAAGGTTCCATGACTAGTAAGTGGCAGAATTAGAATTTGAATCAAGGTCTCTCACTCCAAATCTCAAATTCTCAGTCACTCATTCATACAACCCAAGATAAAGCCTCTTCGATAGTTAAGTAGCAGGAGCAACTAGGCCTCCAGAGGAGAGAAAACTTGTATATAAAATCAGCAAGGGGCAGTCCAGAAGCCAGATCAGAAATGGCATTAGTGCCTGATGCTGTAAGACCCAGAAGTTCCAAATGAGCCCTACCCCAGCCCTGGTACAAGCAGACTAGTCCCCTGTCAGCACGATCCTGCCCAAGATGCCCAAGACTCACCCAGATCTGCAGCTTTACTCGCTTCTCGTTGCGGTAGACTGTCTTCACCTTGAAGTCGATGCCCACAGTGCTAACGAAGGCTGGGGTAAAGGTGTCATCAGCATAGCGGAAGAGGAAGGAGGTTTTGCCAACACTGCTGTTGCCAATAATGAGCAGTTTGAACATGTAGTCAAAATTCTGGTCAGAGGCATCTTTGACTCCGGCTTTACTATCAGTCACTGAAGCCATCTGCAGGAGAGACCTGTGGTCACTCAGGAACACATCTCTAATGTCACCCTGAGTCACCAACCTTTTAATGGTCACTCCGCCATTCACATACTCATTCCCCACCCCGGTATCACTGAGGAAACACACACTACTCAGAATCACCCCATCGCTGCACCTGTCCCAATGTTGTCTCAGGATTGGGTGGAACCCAGCTCTTCCCATTCATTCCTTCAGCAAATATTTACTGAGCACATTGTTCTGGATAAAACCCTGTGCTGGGCATGGGGAATACAAATATGAATCAGACATGGTGTCTGACCTCTGAGTGGCCACAGATTAGAGTAAAAAAGCATATAAACTCAGAGTAACAAAGCAGTAGGGAAGTCTTGGCTGAGGAAGCCCACAAGAAGCATCTAACCCAACCTGGAGGAATGGTGATCAAGGAGAGTCCCCTATGGGAGGCAGCTCCTGAGCTGAGTTTTTTTTTGTGGGGGGGGGGGGGGAGCCAAAACAGCAGACACATGAACATTCCTGGAAAGGCCTAGTACAGGGCTATCATTCCCATTTCAAAAACTTTTATGGCTCCCCACAGCTTTGAAGACCAAGCCCAAACTGTTCAACTTCACAAAGAGCCAAAGAATAAACTCTTTAAGCTTTATTTTCCCCTAAGTCTTTTCCCTACCAACCTGTGCTACTTTTATACCAAATTACACACTTTACTCCAAATATACAATGTTTCCTGCTTTCATCCCTTTAGACATGTATTCTTTCCTTCTGCCTACACATTCTTCTAATAAACTCCTACTCACCCTTAGAGATCCAAATGAAGTCTCCCCTTCCCTGTGCATGGCAGAGGCATGCACTCCTGCCCTGAGCTCCCAGAGCACACGAACAGTACTTGTAACATTTCAGAACTGTTTACTATTCTAGCTCCTCTTTTAGAAGCAACATCTGAGACTTAATGCACTTCATTTCTCCCTCTCTAGCTTCTAGCACAAATCCTAGTACATAATCAGCACTCAGTAAATATGTGCTGAATTAATGAGTCACATCATTACTCTGGGGCCCCATCTCATCATCTGGAAAATGGGGAGAACAATTTCTTCCCCGCTTTTCTCACAGAGCTGTTACAGGACTCAAATGAGATAACAATGAGTAAGACCTTAATAAACTGGTAAATCCCACACAGGTATGAACATAAGTCATTATTATTCCAAATCCTTCAAAACCTAGATCCTTTATTTACTTGTTCATTCACTCATTCATTCATTCAGCAAGTACTTAGAATGCCAGGTCTCCCTGAGACCCCAGCCCTCTGAGACTTGCCACCATCCTCTCCTTTCCTAGAACACTTTGGATCTGCACTTGATAACCCAGCACTTGATCCTGTAGTCTTTGAGTCTTTACTTGCTTTTTCTACATCTTACCAGCTGCAAGTACCCTGCTTCTCCATCTGTAATTTCTTCTTGTGTTTAGCATTGGGTACTAGAACATGCTGAGTGAGTAGGGGAGGGTGGGAAGACAGCCCTCATGTAAGATAAGGTGCAAGGTGTCATTCTCTTTAGGAATTCCTTTTTTACCCCAAAGTGAAAGAAAGACTAGTGGATTTATCTCTATGAGCCTCTCCAGTGAGTTGTAAGGTTAAAGCTCTCTCAATGAAACGTCAGACAAATATGTGAGAGAATTTATTAGCAGCCCTTTAATAATATGTCCTTAAATAAGCCACCACTAGCCTCCAGTGGCCTCTGTTCTTTCTTTTCTCACAGCTCTCAAGCCTTTATCTGAGACCCCCAGCCTCCCTTTCTGTATCAATCTGCCCCATGACAAGGCTCACTGGGTAATTGTGGAACATTCCCGGGAACCCCGGCAATGAGGCATAGTGTTTACATGGACGAACAAAGTGAAATTGGAGGGAAGGGGGCTTAAACTGTCTCATAGCCCTGAGTTTTCAGTTTTTCATGGTACAACATGCCAAGCCTGTTTCAAGAACTGGCAATTCAAAGGAATTATGCTTTTTCTACCTTAAAGCAAAGGAAGCAACCACAATGACCTCACACAAACCTCTGCTCAGCTACCAGTCATCTTTGTTTGTTTATAAGAGAAATTTCAACTTTGAAAGTATTTGTTTATTGTTAAAAATTAGAAAAAAAAAAACCAAGAATATAAAGAGAAATATTTTAATCACTGGACATCACACCCATTCAGAAACTACATTGTTAACATTTTAAGTGTATTTCCTCCCTTATTTTTTCATGCAATAAAATGCTATCTATTTTATGCCCTGGCCAGTTTGGCTCAGCGGTTGGAGTGTCGGCCTGCGGACTGGAGAGACCTGGGTTCGGTTCCCGCTGGGGGCATGTACCTCAGTTGCAGTTTGTCCTCAGCCCCAGTTGGGGTCGTATGGGTGGCAACCAGTTGATGTGTCTCTCTCACACTGATATTTCGCTCTCTCTCTTTCTCTCTCTCCCCCTCCTGCTCTGTCTGAGGATGGATGCAAAAATGTACTCGTGTGAGGATAAAAATAAATAAAAAATGCTATCTATTTTAAATTATATTCTATTATGTGTTCATTTAAAATGTAATACAGCCCTGGCCAATGTGGCTTGGTGATTAGAGTATCAGCCCACGCACTGGAGTGTTGCGGGTTTGATTCCAGGTCAAGGGCACATACCTGGGTTGTGGGTTCAATCCCAGCCCCCAGTCAGTGCTGGTGCAGGAGACAACCAATCGATATGTCTCTCTCACATTGATGCTTCTCTCTTTATTTTCTCACCTCCCTTCCTCCTTGCCTTCTACTCTCTCTAAAAGAATCAGTGAAGGAAATATCCTCGAGTGAGGATTAACAACAACAAAAATAGGTAATACACACATTGAAAATAATTCAAACAAATTTTTACTATTTGTAAGTACTACTTTATCACTATCTGCAGTTGCATCATTTTTTAAAACTTATCTTTACTGTTGAATGTATTACAGATGTTCCTCATTTTTCCCCTATTGACCTCCTCCTCCCCACTCCCTCTCCTCTCCTGCCTTTCCCCACACTGTTGTCTGTGTCCATTGGTTATGCATATATACATATAAGTTCTTTGGTTTATTTCTTCCCACCCCCCAACCCCCCTTCCTTTTGAAGTTTGTCAGCCTAACAACCAATTTGTATTTCTTAATCCCTTCATCTTTTCCATCCATTCCCCCATCCCCCTCCCATCTGGCAACCAACAAAATGTTCTCTGTATCTATGAGAATGTTTCTGTTCTGCCTGTTCATTTTGTTTGTAGATTCAATTGTCTATAGATATGTATTCATTGCCATTTTGTTTGTTCATATTTTTTATCTTTTTCTTCAAGAAGACCCTTCATCCTTTGAGACGACATGGAGCGACCTGGAAAGTATTATCCTAAGTGAAATAAGCCAAGCAGAAAAAGACAAATACCACATGATCTCACTTATATACGGAATATAATGAACATAACAGTCTGAGGAATACGGTAGACCCAGAAACATGGAAGTAGAGCACAGACTGACATCCCTCAGAAGAGGAGGTGAGAGGGTGGGAAGAGATAAACCACAGAACTTATATGCATGTATGCATGACCAATGGACATGGACAACTAAGCCGGGGACGGGGTGGAGGTGGGGTGGGGAGGGGGTTGCCAATGGGGTAAAAAAGATGAAATATGTGTAACAATAAAATAAATAAAAAATTAAAAAAAAAAAAAAGAAGAAGAAGAAGACCCTTCAATATTTTGTATAATAATGGTTTGGTGGTGATGCTTTTTCTTGTCTGGGAAACTCTTTATCTGTCCATCGATTCTAAATGACAGCTTTGCAGGATAGAGTAATCTTGGTTGTAGGTTCTTGCTTTTCATCACTCTGAATATTTCTTGCCACTCCCTTCTGGTCTGCAAAGTTTTGTTTTGAGAAATCAGCTGACAGTCTTATGGGAACTCCCTTGTAGGTAACTAACTGCTTTTCTCTTGCTGCTTTTAAGATTCTCTCTTTGTCTTGAACCTTTTGCATTTTGATGATGATGTGTCTTGGTGTGGGCCTCTTGGGGTTCATCTTGTTTGGGACTCTCTGTGCTTCCTGGACTTATATATCTGTTTCCTTCACCAAGTTAGGGAAGTTTTCTGCCATTATTGTTTCAAATAGGTTTTTGATTTCTTGTTCTCTTTCTTCTCCTCTGGCATCCCCAAAATGCGAATATTGGCATGTTTGAAGTTGTCCCAGAGGCTCCTTACACTATCCTCATTTTTTTAAATTCATTTTTCTTTTTGCTGTTCTGACTGGGTGTTTTTGCTTCCTTATATTCCAAATCGATGGTTTGCTTCTTGGCTTTACCTACTCTACTATTGAATCTGTGTAAATTATTACTTATTTCAGTTAGTGCCTCCTTCATTTCTGACTGGTCCTTTTTTATGTTCTTGAGGCCCTCACTAAGTTCACTGGGGTTTTCACTAAGTTTATTGAGCATCCTTATAAGCAGTGTTTTGAACTCTGAATCTGTTATGTTGCTTATCTCCATTTCGCTTAGTTCTTTTCCTGGAGTTGTGTTCGTTTCTTTCATTTGGGACCTGTTTGTTTGTCTCCTCATTTTGGCTGCTTCCCTGTGTTTGTTTCTATGTATTGCTTAATGAGAGGTATGGGGCTCGCTGAGACCAGATGCTGCCTGTTTGAAAGAATTTAGGAAAACCTGAAGCAGGATCCAAGACAGGCCAATCCTATGGTAAAGCAACTGGCAACAGCTTGAGTGGGCCTGAAAGTTGGGTGGGGCAGGGCCTCAGGGAATCACCAGGGTGGGGCAAACAGTGTGAGCCAAGTTGCTGGAGTCCCAGATATGGTGGCCGTCTGCCGCCCCAGGGAAGGGCTCACTAAAGGAACAAAGGTCTCTGACAGCACGCCTGTCCAAGAGAAAGCTGCCTCTCCAGCCCTCGCTCCAGTGCCAAACAGCTCAGTTCTTCCCTGTATGTCTCTGGTGCCATTCAAGTTGCCTCCCCCACACTGGAGCCTGGAGGGTGCGA